CAAAGGTGTCAGGATAGCTAGAGCTCACCTAATCAATTCTAGAGCAAGGTCACACAAACCTATACACTAGTACTTCATACAACCAGGGGAGCTCCTACACAACTAGTGATGCAAAAGCACAAAGCCACCTAAGCTCACTAGCAATGCTCAATAACAAGGCTACAGAAGCCAAATTATAGAGCGCAAAATACTTAGCTACACAAACTAAGCAATGTGACTAACAAGGTTACTAAAACCAAATTAGCCACCCAAGGGAGCTACTTCTATGCTACACAAATAAGAAGGCAACTAGCAAGCTACTAAAGCTAAACTAGTCATAAGAGCAACTACAAAAGCACAATGTATAAAGTGTAAATACAAGCTTGTGTTGCATGGAATGCAAACCATCGAGAAGATTATGAAGACAATGTTGACATGGTGATTTTCTCCCAAGGTTCACTTCGTTGCCACCAAGCTACGTCCCCATTGTGTCGACTGCTCACTTGGTGGTTCGGCGGCTAATTGGCATCACCTGTCAAGCCCGCGTGTCGGACACCGCAAGAACTACCCCGAAAGTGAGGGTAGCTCAATGACACACTTAACTAGAGTTGCTCTTCACGATCCCTGCGGGGTGAGCACAATCCCCCTCACAAATCCTCCTCCGAAGCACCGCACAATCTTCTCGCGTGCTTCAACGGAGTCACAAGCCACCAAGCCATCTAGAAGGTGGCAACCTCTAAGAGTAACAAGCACCACCGGCTTGCAATTCGAACACCTAGTGCCACTCAATGCAACCTCACGATGCAATCGCACTAGAATCGCTCACTCGATTAAATAATCACTATCAAGCACAAGTGATTTAGAGGGCTCTCAAGCACACCTATACAAGCCACTAAGGCTCAAGAGTGCTCGGCTAGCGACCAAAGGCTGGCCAACACTTCTATTTATAGCCCCAAGAACTAAACTAGCCGTTACCCCTTTACTAGGCTTTCTACGCATCGACCAGACACGCAGGTCCACTTGACTGGACGCGTTGGTCCCTACGTCCGGTCGCTGCCGTGCTTCCACGTGTCACTAGCCGTTTGAACTAACCGTTGCCGCCAATGGCTATCTCCTACGCACGCTAGCGGTCACTGATCGAACGCGCTGCTTGGCTTAACCTGACGCTGCCCCAAGCCGCGTCCGATCGCTTCCAGTAACGGTCTAGAGAAGCTTTTACGCAACCAAATGCGTCCTCTCATGCACGACCGCACGCAAACTAGCGTCCGATCAGCTCTGCATCCGTGCGTGAACTCTAGCGTCGCCTACATCACCGTACGTCACCTATGACCGGACACGTCCGGTCACTTTTACTGTACAGCATCCGGTCACTTGACCAAGACCATGCCCAACTGCTACCACTGATCGGACACGTCGGTCCTGCCGAGGCCAGCGTCCGGTCACCAATGTTTTCCTAAACAGTAAATGATCTTTACATGGTCGTCCTTCGTTTAGCGTTTAGGCTGTTTACACGGTGTTTAAACGAGGTTAAACAGTCTAAACGGTTTTGTACTTTAAAAAAATACATATAATTATATATGTGCATGTAAAAAATCAAGTATTCTAGCATTTATACATATTTATCCGAGTAAAAATCAATTATTTTGGTATGTATATATATTTATGCATGTGAAAAGAACCAAATATAGATATTTATGCATGTAACATATCAAGTGTACACATTTATAAATATAATAAACTTAAGTATACAAATTTATCCAAACAAAACTGAACTAGATTTACCTCGTGTTTGCCTATACAGCTGTTTAGCCCGTTTAATGCTGTTTATCTCCGTTCCATTTAGGTCGTTTAGACCATTTTTCCTGTTTTTTTACCGTTTAAATGGTCAACCGTTTAATTTTCGTTTACCTTCTAAACAAAATAGTTTACCACCGTTTACCGTTTACTGACCGTTTAAACGGCCGTTTAATCCATTTAGGCGAACACTGGGTCACTCACAGTGACACCTTCTCGCCTCCGTTTCTTCACTGAGTTGATCCTCATCAACTTCAACTTCTTCTCCTTTGTAAATATGCCAGCACCATCAAGTGTACACCACCATATGTATGTGTGTTAGCTTTTCACAAATATTTTTAACGAGTTAGCCATTCAACTTGCCACGTCACTTAATCCTAACACGTATGCAAAGTTAGATCACTCAAGTGGCACTAGATGACTGATATGCAAACAAGTTTGCCCCTCTTGATAGTACAGTCATCTATCCTAAACCCGGTCATAAACTTCTCTATACACCTATGACCGGTGAAATAAAATGCCCTAGGTTATACCTTAGCCTTGCGCATTTCATTCCAACTCCTTCGATGTTGATGCAACACATGCACCAATAAGATCGACAATGATATGATCCACTCCACATCATCACATGACTATATTGGTTCATCGATCTTGACCTCACTTGCTCTTCACCGTTGCTTCGGTCCATCGGCGCCAAGTCATCACTCAACTTGCCCTTCACACTTGCAACTGATCCATAGAGCCAAGTCATGTCTTGATCTTCTCCACCTTGATCACATGACTCAATGTCATATCTCATGTGCAATGAGCTCCTTCATCATCACATGTGTGAGCTTTGCAACATCTTCGAGCCATCTTCACAGTTATGGCATATGTTGCTCACACACATATACTTGTGGACTAATTATCTATGTATCTCACTCAAACACATATTAGTCCACTTAAGGATGTCACTCAATTAGCAAAACCAAACAAAGACCTTTCATAGTAGCACCTCGTGGGTCCTAGGTTCGACTTCCCCTATGAAACAATATTCTACGATTTTAACGTTGTTGTGCTTTCAGTGGTAGATGATGTTCTTGTTGATGGCGACGATTTCTGGTCACTAGTACACAGAACATTTGTACTGACGATTCTAAACCTATTTTTACTGGTGCTTTTATCCACCGCCAATGTGAAAGGCCAGTGAAAATCATGAACTTCACGGACATTTTTTAGAGAAACGCCACTACAAATGATTTACAATGCTGTTTTCTTAAGAAAACCGTCACTACAAATAATTTACACTGGTTGTTTTCTTAAAAAAACGCCACTACAAATGATTTTTAAAAATTACAAATCGGGCACAAAAAATAGCAAAATAATTTTTTCGCAAGAATCTTTTCTTAAGAAAATCGTCACTACAAATGATTTACACTGGTTGTTTTCTTAAGAAAACCGTCACTACAAAAGATTTTCAAAAATTACAAATTGGGCTTAAAAATAGCAAAAAAAGTCACAAGAAATCCATGCATATGCGACCCCAAGGAATTGAACTCAGCACCTTAGCCTCGCACATTACACCCCTTCCCATTGCACCCCAAAGCCACTTATGACTAAATAGTAGAAATATACCCGTAGTATTCATTACCGTAGATTTTAAATTTAAGATTTAAAGCCCTAAACAGATTCAAATGAAAAAAAATTCAACTACAAACTTTTAAATCTCGTTGAGATCTACAACTTTGCTTTTGATCGTTTTCCCATCGGAGGCCATTTGAGAAATTCAAAAAATATAAATTTTAAAGTCATTAATCTTAAAACATAATTTATGCACCCTAAATGATTTTAAATAAAAAAGTGGTCAACTACAAAGTTGTAGACCTTTTTGAATCCTACAACTTTTGTTCATACCATTTTTTCATCTGAGATCATTTGATAAACTTAAAAAATTAATTTTAAATTATTTGTAGTGGCGTAAACTTAAGAAAACAGTCAGTAAAAATGATTTTACCCTGACGGTTCATGGTCTGGACCCATAATTTTATTTCTATTGGCGCTTATAGATTACGAACGGCCATTTAAAAAAATGACCATCACCAAGAGAAATCGTCGTTGTACTAGTGGGTTTAGTCTTCAAAGATGCTCATCGAGGTAAGTTTTGGTTCGTGCATTCATAGGAGTAAAAAAAATAGCAACTTAAGTTTTATCCTTCTCCAATAGTGTAATAGTTTTGCATTGGAAACCCCAAAATTATTTCTACCCAACCAAACCTTTTTTAATAGTTTCTTTGTATTTTATCGCTTTCTCACCTGACACCTTTTATTTTCTTAATTTACTCACGCATCCAATTTATCGTGATCTCTAGAGAAAATGCCCTATGGGGAGTGGATACGGATTTCCTCTAGTCCCAAAAATTTACAAGTTACAGAGGATACTCCCTCCGTACTAGGAAAAGAAGTCGTTTTAGGTGTTTAGAGGATTTGCACAAATGAAGTCGTTTTAGGAGTATTTGATTACTTTTAATTTTTATCAAGGCGCTCGTTTACCAAATTGTTGAAGGGGATTTTTTTTTCTTACAAGTTAGTGAGGATATTTGGTAACTTTTAATTTTAATTAAGAAGCTCTTTTACCAAACTAAAAAATCAAAAATAGGAGTTTATCGGATGTCTCGAAGAGACGTTGTTTTTTTTAAAAAAAACAGTTGTTTTACAAAACTGTCGAGCAAGACATGCCCTTAAAAAAAGACGAATCCTAAATAGCGAAAACAAATACGTGGAACAAAAACCTCGTTCTCAGCAATTGGGCCGGCCCAGAACTGGTCGGCGCTGTGCTCGTCTTCCCCCAAATCGTCCCCAGTCTCGCCGTCGAGGGTTAAGCCAACTCCTCTTCCCCGCTCGCGCCGGCGCCGCCCTTCTCACGGCCGCCTCTCCCCCCACGGCAGGCTCAAGTTGTGGCGCTCAGTAAGCCCCATTCCCCTACCGCCTATCTTTCGTCCCATTTCTGTACCCTTGACTGGTTTGCTATTTTTCAATTTTGCGATGAGACCATGCTTCTAACTCAGCAAAATGCTTCGCCATTTTTCGAAATCTCGCGCCGTCTTCGATCTAGCAGCGCCACTCTTCTAGCAATCGAACAGGATTTTGTGTAGATGGATATTTTTTTAGGAAAAAATGTATTTTTATTTATTTGTTTTGCTGGGTTGTTTGGTCCTCTAACAGGAGGAACTGCTCTGAGCAGGGCATGCCATGAAGCTTGAGGATGCCTTCAGGAAGCGCGCTCGCTTAAGTGGTGTCGTCGGTGGGTCCTCGACCGGCGGCCCGGACCGGCTGAGCTCTCTGCCGGACTGCCTCCTCCATACCATCATGTCCTTCCTGCAAGCCCGGCAGGCGGTCCAGACATGCATGCTGTCCACACGGTGGAGGCACCTCTGGCGCTCGGTGCCGTGCCTCGACATCGATTTTGATGAGTAGTGCCTGTTTCTGACAACAACTCAGGCTCGGGTGCCGACCACAACTCTGGCTCCGGTGGCGACAACAACTCTGGCTCCGGTGGTGAGGACATCTCTGATTCTGACGGCGACGACAACTCCGATTCCAGTGATGACGACAGCTCTAGCTCTGACAGTGATACCTCTGATTCCGACAGTGACTGATGGCATGTCGATCCTGACAACAGCCACAAGGACTGGGAGCACTTCACCAACTACAAGGACTGGGAGAATTTTGAGAATTTTGCCGTGACCCTGATGCGTCGCTGTAACATTGCACAGTTGGATTCATTCCGGCTGCATATTGACCGATTCAGAGCACCGGAGTTTGGCAATAGACTGGCAGCAGGATGGCTCCGTCGTGCCATGAAATACTGCACCCCAGATCATGCCAGTCAGCAGGGATTGAGCTCTGGTTCCTGGCGCCTCAAAAGGCTGCATCTCTGCCATGTACTTCTCGATAATGATTTTCTGAAGCATGTTAGTTCAGTGTGCCGCTCTTTGGAGGATTTGGAGCTGGACAATTGCATTTGTCAAATTCAGTCAATCACCTCTGATTCGTTGAAGACCCTGGTTCTGAAAAAATGTGGATGGCGCAATCTTTCTGAGATTATATCGCCCACACTGAAGACATTGGTTATTGATGGTGGTTCAAATACTGATGACTGTGTGCTTGTTATCATGGCCCCCTCCGTTGCGTATCTGCATCTGGCTGTGCATGTTGGCCACTTCAGTGGTGGTGTTTAATTAAATGAGGTGCCATCTGTTGCCAAGGCATTTATTCATCTATGGGGTCACCGATATGGTTCTGCCAGAACTAAAATTGGCGATCAATTCAGGCTTCTCTGTAGCATATCTAATTCGATAAATTTAGAATTGTCGGGTGTTGGATCAACGGTATGCCTTCAGTGTCTCTTGCAATGTTCCATTTATTCACTCCCATAATGTTACTGTGCTATCGAATCTAATGTACTCCAGGTGCTCAGTAAGGACCCAGATTCCAAGAATTCAAGAACCTGAGGAACTTATTGCTGTACAACTGTGATCTCAGTGATGACTTCAAGACATTGGTATTCTTTCTTCGGAGTTCTCCTATTCTTGAGAAACTCACTTTGCAGTACTGCAAGGTAAACTGTTGTTTGGTTTTTAACTTAATGAACATAGTTCCTTGTCTTACATCTTTTATGCTGGCCACAGTTCCCAAAATATTCTAACAGAAAGAAAGGAACACCCATACTCAACAAGACCTCATCTTCTGAGCTCGGTGGACTGGATTTGCTCTGTGAGAACCTCAAGGTTGAAATCATATATGGCTATAGCTATGGACCCCACCTTATCAGGCTTCTACATCGTGTTTCAGTGAATCTGACGAAGAACAACATTAAACTCACCAAAGTTAATTAGTGTTTTTGTTATCCCAGGCCTTCTATGTGGCTTCTCACCTAATGGTTCATGTGGAATTTATGTGCACATTATAGGCTCCCTTCAGAGGCACTAAATCGAAGCCTGTACTTTTGACTACTTTCTAAGTGAAGCAGGCCTTTGCTCTATTGACTATATATGCTATTGCCTTTTACTCTTTTTCCTTGCTTAAGGATGTGATTGCAAAATATCTGCTTTAAGTCCTATGCACCGTGTGTGTCTGTGTCTGCTGTCCACTTACATGGACTTAGCTAGCTTAAGTTGTTACATATTGGGAAACTGTTTCCTATTATAAAATATCGAATCTTGAAAAATGGGTTCGCAAAGAGCATGCTTTCTTCTGTTTTTTTCCTTCCTGGGCCTTTGGGGACTAGGCAGAGGTACATACATACGAAAACTATACATCATCTTGGATTCATCATTGTTTTTGCCATCACTGTAAGCAGTTATCTTGTGTATGGGTCCCGTGCATATATGTGCAAAATATCTTGAGCCCCTTTGCTTTGACATACATGTTCTTCTATGTGGCTTCTCGCCTTAGGTTTCACATGTGGAATTTCTTGCATATTATGGGTTCCCTTTAGATGCACTAGATCGCGAGCCTATACTTTTCACCAATTTCTAAGGTGTGATGCAGGTCTTTGCTCTATTGACTATATTATATGCTACTGATTTTAACTCTTTTTTTCCTTGCTTCTGGTGCTTTTAACACCATGTACTCTGTGTATCTGTGTCTCTTGGTATAGAACATCCCGATCTTGAAAATGGCACCGGAAATCGCAAGTTTCTTCTGTTCTTTTCTCCCTGGGGCTCTTTGGGACTACTTTCTAAGTGAAGCAGGCCTTTGCTCTATTGACTATATATGCTATTGCCTTTTACTCTTTTTCCTTGCTTAAGATGTGATTGCAAAATATCTGCTTTAAGCCCTATGCACGTACCGTGTCTGTCGGTGTCTGCTGTCCACTTACATGGACAAAGCTAGCTTAAGTTGTTACATATTGGGAAACTGTTTCCTATTATAAAATATCGCAATCTTGAAAAATGGGTTCGCAAAGTGCATGCTTTCTTCTGTTTTTTTTTTCCCTTCCTGGGCCTTTGGGGACTAGGCAGAGGTATCTACCTGCGAAAACTATACACCATCTCAACTTCATCATTGTTTTTGCCATCACACTGCAATGATCTTGTGTATGGGTTCCTTACATGGATGTTCAAAATATCTTGAGCCCCTTTGCTTTGACATGCATGTTCTTCTATGTGTCTTCTCCCCTTATGTTTCACATGTGGAATTTCTTGCATATTATGGGTTCCCTTTAGATGCATTAGATCGTGAGCCTATACTTTTCACCAATTTCTAAGTGTGATGCAGGTCTTTGCTCTATTGACTATATTATATGCTACTGATTTTAACTCTTTTTTCCTTGCTTCTGGTGCTTAACAGTATGTACTCTGTGTATCTGTGTCTCCCTTACACGTTTGCTTCTGTGTTTTCCTACTGAAACTATCTCCAATTATAGAACATCCCGATCTTGAAAATGGCACCGGAAATCGCAAGTTTTCTTCTGTTCTTTTCTCCCTGGGGCTCTTTGGAACTTGGCAGAGAGGTACATACTTTAGGAAACTATCAAATTCATCAGCGTTTTTGTCATTAGTGTGCTTTTGTCTTGAGCCCCTCCGCTTCGGCTTTGACATGATTTCAAAACATCTTTCTTTGGACTGAAAACTCTGTGCTGACTGCTGACTACAGACGAGCTGAAACTGTCTAGCTGGCTCACCCTCTTTTGCTTCTGCAGTGCACAAGATCTGTAATCAAATCCCGTGGAGTGTTTCCTGTTCCAATTTCAGTTGGTTTTCTCGTGCAATCAAACCTTGACATGTGTACAAATCCCCAGGAACGCAAATGCGGTGATGTGAGGATTTCAGTCGGTGAAACAAAATTTGACTAAATTTATTTAAGAAAGCAACAGAAAAACCGGTCGATTGACAACCACGCAGACGCAGTGCACCAAACACCGGCGACAGTGACGCACTGATAGAGCTTCAGGGGAATTAGGCCTTCTTTTACAACATTTTTTCTTCACTCGTGTGATGGCATTTGGCAAAGCAAACAGATCAATCACTGGGCCAAATTGCAGCTTTTGTTAAGTGTTTTTTAAAAAGTAATTTACCCTCAGGCCCTGTTTGGTTCCCAGGAACTGAGAGGAATTGGAAATAATCTAATAGTGAAATGAGAAACACTTTCTAGATATTGGTTTCAATAAAGGGACCAAACAGGCCTTCATATAAAAGTCACACACAGTCATGTGCCGCATCACGCCCAACAAGGCCACACCGCGCGCGCAGCGAGATGTCTGAACTCCATGGTTGCCAGTACACAGTAGCATAAAGATTATTTTGCAAGCATAAGAACTTTGATCTCCATGTTCCACCATACTGACTTTTCTTATTAAAAAAAAAAGAGAATTTAGCAAATATAAAATATGAAGTCAGTTCATTGGCACATAAAGGATTAGAAAACAAAATCTGAAACCAGGTTGTTGGAAAATCCATTGAATAAGGACTATTGAGGCATCATTTTCTTCATATTGATATAACTTTTTTTTTGACCCAATATAGATGCAGACGCTCATATGACGTGTACGTCGTCTACCACTGAAAGAATAATGCCGTTAAATCCTAGAATAAATCTAGGAAAATATGAGCACATGTGTTAAGTTTGAGCACAACTCACTTCGTCCTTCGTACATTATCTAATGGATATGTTATTTAGTAAATATATTTTAGGATTTAATAAATAAAGTGATTTAAAGATATACTTAACCCTCAATTTGTCTTATAGTAGTGAACAATTGCTAAGAAACCGATGTCATATCAAAAGATTTTTGAATATTGAATCCATTCAAAATGTATGACATTTTGTTTGTCCTAAATTGATATCCTAAGTTTAAAAAGTTTATAGAAAATGTAGAAACTTCCTGCAATACTAGATTAGCACTAGATACACTAAATGTAATCAAATTTAAATGAGTCTTAACAGGACAAACATGAAAACACCATATATTTTTAATCGAGGAATTATACACTATGCATGCATATAATTTTAACTAATAATTAGCCAAAAATTCATAAAGTTTGGTTTTAATCACAATCTGTCTACTAATTTCAAGCGGATGGATTTCTTTAGAGAACTCGCTAAAAAACATATGGTTAATTTTTTTAGAATTACTCGACAACAGGCGACTGATTTTTCGCATTCGCGTCTGTCACCTGCCCACGAGCTCAACCTGCGCACGTGGCCTCCCCTTCTCTCTCATCTCTGGCGACTCCTCCCTGGCAGCCAGCCTTCGCGCCTCTACTCGACGAGCTCCTCCCATGCCCCACTCACTTTTTGTCCCGTGCCTGGCACCCGTGTCTGCAAGGCTGGCCCCACCCCCTTCTTCGCCAACTCCGACGAGCTTAGAAGAAGGGGCTCAGGGTGGAGGTAGGGCGGCCAGGTAGTGGGGACAGTGGCCGGATGATTAGGTCCCCTAGTGGCGGTGGACGCGGGGGAGCTCCATGGCAGGAGCTCCGAGGCCATGTCCGGCTAGGTCACCAAAGTTCCATGGCCAGGCCAGGGCGGGGTGGGGAGGTTGGTGGGTTGGGGAGAGGCTGGGGTGGGAGACGTCGGCCACCGGGAGCACCCTAGGATTATGCTGGAGCTCCACGGCCATCGCCGCGCCCGCGGAGCTCTGGTGCAACCCTAGCGCGCCACTGTGGGGCAGTGGACCGCAGCAGGGGCATGTACGAGGCTTAGGAGGGGCACTGGAGGGGGAGAAGACGCCAGAGAGGGAGAAGCCGCTTGGGCTGGGAGGAAGAAGCACGCCATGTTTGTTTGGGCTTGTTTGGCTTATAAGTCAAGGCTGAAAGTACTCTTGGCTGATTTGGTGTGAGAGAAAAATACTGTTCATTGGCTGATAAGCCATGGCTTATAAGTCAAATACGACCAAGCGGACAGGCTGTAAGATATTTGTGAGATTTCAGTCACCTGCCCTCTAAGACATACACTAATTTTTTTCTGTTTATTAAAAAACAGACTATTCCTCCGTAGCGAAAAGTTATGGAATAAAATAAAAACTCTTTTTTTAGCAGAAAATAAAATAAAAACTCGGTAGTAGCAATTGCCAATTGGGCCGGCCCAAAACTTCTCGGCGTAGTGTCCTCTTCCGCCACCCATCCCCTGTCTCGCCGTCGAGGGTTTAGGCACCGCTCGTGCCGGCGCCGCCCTTCTCACGGCTGCGTCTCTTCCGGCTGGAGCGGCTCCTACCCCCACGGCAGGCTCAGGCTGCGGCGCTCGGTAAGCCGTAAGCCCCATTCCCCCACCGCCCCATCTTTCGCCCCATTCCCTTACCCCTGACTGGTTTGCTTTCGGCCTTCGTGAACCCTTCTTGATTTCAATCTTCCGAGCAAAATGCTTCGCCATTTTTCGAAATCTTGCGCCGTCTTTGATCTAGCAGTGCGACTCATCAAGTAATCGATCTAGCAGGGCACGCCATGGAGCTTGGGGATGCCTTTAGGAAGCCCGCCCGCGCAAGTGGTGTCGTCGGCGGATCCTCGGCCGGCGGCCCGGACCGGCTGAGCTCTCTGCCGGACTGCCTCCTCCATACCATCATGTCCTCCTTGAAAGCTCGGCAGGCGGTCCAGACATGCGTGCTGTCCACACGGTGGAGGCACCTCTGGCGCTCGGTGCCGTGCCTCGACATCGACTTTGATGAGTTCAGCAACACGGCGCCCGCTTCTGACGTCTTCGATAGCAACGAGAGCAACGACGATACCTCTGATTCCGACAGTGATAACTGGCACAACCACAAGGACTGGGAGCACTTCACCAAGTACAAGGACTGGGAGGATTTTGAGGATTTTGCTGTGACACTGATACGCCGCTGTAACATTGCACAGTTGGATTCATTCCGGCTGCATACTGATGGAAGCAGAGCACCGGAGTTTGGCAATAGAGTGGCAGCAGGATGGCTCCGTCGCGCCATGAAATACTGCACTCCTGATCATGCCAATCAGCAGGGATTGAGCTCTGGTTCTTGGCGCCTCAAAAGGCTACATCTCTGCCATGTACTTCTTGATGACCATTTTGTGAAGTGTGTTAGTTCAGTGTGCCGCTCTTTGGTGGATTTGGAGCTGGACAATTGCAGTTGTGAAATTCAGTCAATCACCTCCCAATCGCTGAAGACCCTGGTTCTGAAAAGATGTGGATGGCGCAATCTTTCTGAGATTATATCGCCCACACTGAAGACATTGGTTATTGATGGCGGCTCAAATATAGGTGCCTGTGTGCTAGTTATCTTGGCCCCCTCTGTGGTGTATCTGCATTTGGCTATGCGTGTTGACTACTTTAGTGGCGGTGTTTCATTAAATGAGGTGCCATCCGTTGCCCAGGCTTTGATTCATCTATGGTATCACAAATATGTTTATGCCAGAAGTAAACTTGCTGGCGATCAATTCAAGCTTCTCTGTAGCATATCTAATTCGACAAATTTAGAATTGTCGGATGTTGGGACAACAGTATGCCTTCACTGTCTCTTGCAATGTTCCATTTTATTCACTCCAATAATGTTACTGTGCTATCTAATCTAATGTGCTATAGGTGCTTGGTAAGGAACCCAAATTCCAAGAATTCAAGAACCTGAGGAGCTTATTGCTGGACAGATGTGATCTCAGTGATGGCTTCAAGACATTGGTATTCTTTCTTCAGAGTTCTCCTATTCTTGAGAAGCTCACTTTGCGGTGCTGCGAGGTATACTATTGTTTGGTTTTTAACTTAATGAACATTGTTCCTTGTCTTACATCTTTTATGCTGGCCACAGTTCCCAAAATATTCTAACAAAAAGAAAGGAACACCCATACTCAACAAGACCTCATCTTCTGAGCTCCGTGGACTGGATTTGCTGTGTGAGAACCTCAAGGTTGAAATCATATATAATGATGGCTATGGACCCCACCTTATGCAGCTTCTGCTGCGCATTTCAGTGAATTTGTCGAAGAACAACGTTAAACTCACCAAAGTTAATTAGTGTTTTTGTTATCCCAGGCCTTCCATGTGGCATTTCACCTAATGGTTCATGTGGAATTTATGTGCACATTATAGGCTTCCTTCAGATGCACTAAATCTCAAGCCTATACTTTTGACTAATTTCTAAGTGAAGCAGGCCTTTGCTCTATTGACTATATATGCTATTAATTTTTACTCTCTTTCCTTGCTTAAGGATATGATTGTCTCTGTAAAATGTCTGCTTTAATCCCTATGTGCTGTGTGTCAATGTCCACTGCCCAGTGCCCATCGTCCACTTACATGGACCAAGCTAGATTAAGTTCTTACTTATTGGGAAACTGTCTCCTATTATAAAATATCGCAAGCTTGAAAAATAGGTTCGGAAATAGCTTGTTTTCTTCTGTTTTTTGGCCTTCTGGGGAATAGGCAGAGGTGCATACTTTCAAAAACTACACACCATCTTTGATTCATCAGGGTTTTTGCCTTCACTGTGCAATTATCTTGTGTATGGATCCCCTAGATCTATTTGCAAAATATCTTGAGCCCCTCTGCTTTAACATGCATGTCCTTCTATGTGGCTTCGCCTTTTGGTTCACATGTGGAATTTACTTGCACATTATGGGTTCCCTTCAGATGCACTAGATCGCAAGCCTATATTTTTGACCAATTTGTAAGTGATGCAGGTATTTGCTCTATTGATTATATATGCTATTGATTTTTACTCTCTTTTTTTCCTTGCTTCTGGTGCTTTTAACACTATGTACTCTGTGTATCTGTGGCTCTTGTCTACTTACATGTTTGCTTCTGTGTTTTCCTACTGAAACTGTCTCCAATTATAAAACAATGCAATCTTGAAAAATGACACCGGAAATCACATGTTCTCTTTTTCTTTTCTCCCTGGGGCTCTTTGGGACTTGGCAGACAGGTACATACTTTGGAAAACTGTACACCAACTGAAATTCATCAGCGTTTTTGTCACCAGTGTGCAGATATCTCAAACTATACACCAACTCAAACTACACGTATGTGCAAAATATCTTGAGACCCTCCGCTTTGACATGATTCCAAATCGTATATCGACAATCTTTCGTCTGATTTTTTTTTTAATTTTAACATTTCTTGTAAATTAATTCTAAATCTAACACTGTTTGTTTTTTATTTTTAAATCTAATACTTTTGGCCGCGCCTATTGCCATGGCGCGGCCAAATGCCTGTGCCGTGACATGCATGGTGGCGCGGCGAGAGGGCTGACGTGACGATGACCGGAGCGCTGACCGGTGACGTGGCAGGGTCTGCCGCGCCACCCATCTTGGCGCGGCGCCGTCACGCCATCCATCATGGCGCGGCAGGGATCGACTTGAATGCCTGTGACTGCAAGCTTGCAACACTACTGAAACAACAGCAGAAGCAGCCTGCACGCAAGCTGCGATGATGGCCTATCGCTATCGGAGACGAAGACCATCGTATCACAGCTTGACCTTCGTATCACAGCTTAACCTTGACGCCACCGTACCTTTTGGTTTTTTATCCATCCGCTTTTTTACCGTCAGTATGGTGAGGTTGTGGTGAGGTAATCTGATGATCCTGTAGTATGTATCACGCATTCATGCGTCCAAGAATATATAAAAAGTATATTTTTTGTGGGTGTGTAAACTTTTGACTGTAATCTTCCTTGGCGTAAACTGAAACCGGCTAGATACATTGTCAGGGACGGATCCACAGGAGAGCGTGGTACGGACGCCGAAAGAGACCGCTCGGTTGCTTGCTCAGTTGCTCTGTGCGGCCTCGCTGACCGGCCTGAAAAGCACGCAGTGATGACGATGTTTGCCGCGGTGTCACGTCACCCTCCCAAATCTTAGGCCTTGTTTAAATTCTAAAGTTTTAGGAATATCGCATGGGCTGTTCGGATATTAATAAAAAAAATAAATTACAGAATTGGTTGGTAATTCGCGAGACGAATTTATTAAACCTAATTAATCCGTTATTAGCACATGTGTTATTGTATCATGGATAAATTAGGCTTAAAAGATTCATCTCGTAAATTAGTCATAAATTGTATAATTAGTTATTTTTAGTCTATATTTAATCACGTCACCCTCCCAAATTCTAAAGAGATGATGATGTTTGCCGCGAGATGAATTTATTAAGCCTAATTAATCCGTTATTAGCAAATGTGTTACTGTAGCATAGACGAATTAGGCTTAAAAGATTCGTCTCGTAAATTAGTCACAAATTGTGCAATTACAAGATATGTTGGCATTTCTAAAGCTTCACATACTCCCTCCATTCTAAATTACAAGACATGTTGGCATTTCTAGATACATAGATTTTGCTATGTATCTAGATATATATTTATGTCTAGATACATAGAAACATCAATGTATCTAGAAAAGTCAAAACGTCTTATAATTTGAAATAGAGGGGTATGTGAAGCTTCTCTTAGGTATCGCAAAGTGTGGCATCAAATTTTGTAGCTAAATTTTGTGGCTTGGCACATTTGCCTAAAATTAGTTTGTGGCATGGTTGGGGACCAAACAAACCTTGGTTAGTGCCTTTGTTGTTAAGTGTCAAATAGGCAAGTCAAAGTTTTGCGAACTTGTTCTCTTTCTTGCAAGGAAGAAAGTTGTTAACTGCAATGTTATAAATTATTGATATTAAAAAAGCTTACCTGATACAAATTACTCATAATACAAATTTTATTTCAATTAAATTTCTTACCAAAATCAAACTCACGGTTGGCTACTTCAGAAAAAGCACCTTCTGACCTTGTTTTTTCGTGAAGACTTAAGGTAGTAAGGTTTGTAGCCTCCGCTCTTCGTTTCTAGATCACGGTTGCTATCAGTCATGTCTTACGTGTCTATCAAGGACGGCCCCAAATCCCAGCTCTTACCACAGGACCTCAAAGCTACAGGGATTAAGGCCTTGGTTAGTTCCTCGTCTAAAGTTTACTTCTTATCCCATTAAATATTTGATACATGCAGGTAGTATTAAATATAGACTAAAAAATAACTAATTGCATAATTTGTGACTAATTTACGAGACGAATCTTTTAAGCCTAATTCGTCCATGATACAGTAACACATGTGCTAATAACGGATTAATTAGGCTTAATAAATTCGTCTTGCGGATTACCGACGGATTACCGACGGATTCTGTAATTTTTTTTTTTATTAATATCCGAACGCCCCATACTACCCCTAAAACTTTAGAATTTAAACAATGCCTAAGATTTGGGAGGGTGACGTGACGCCGCGGCAAACATCATCATCACTGCGTGCTTTTCAGGCCGGTCAGAGCAACTGAGCAAGCAACCGAGCGGTCTCTTTCGGCGTCCGTACCACGCTCTCCTGTGGATCCGTCCCTGACGATGTATCTAGCCGGTTTCAGTTTACGCCAAGGAAGATTACAGTCAAAAGTTTACACACCCACAAAAAATATACTTTTTATATATTCTTGGACGCATGAATGCGTGATACATACTACAGGATCATCAGATTACCTCACCACGACCTCACCATACTGACGGTAAAAAAGCGGATGGATAAAAAACCAAAAGGTACGGTGGCGTCAAGGTTAAGCTGTGATACGAAGGTCAAGCTGTGATACGATGGTCTTCGTCTCCGATAGCGATAGGCCATCATCGCAGCTTGCGTGCAGGCTGCTTCTGCTGTTGTTTCAGTAGTGTTGCAGGCTTGCAGTCACAGGCATTCAAGTCGATCCCCTGCCACCTCGTTTCTCTGTTCTTCCCTGCCGCGCCGTGATGGATGGCGCGGCGACGCCGTGCCAAGATCGGTGGCGCGGCAGATCCTACTACGTCATCGGTCAGCGTCTCCGTCGTCGTCACGTCAGCCCTCTCGTCGCGCCACCATGCGCCATGGCAATAGGCGCGGCCAAAAGTGTTAGGAAAATAAAAAACAAACAGTGTTAGATTTAGAATTAGTTTACAAAAAGTGTTAAAATTAAAAAAAATCACTACAGACGAACTGAGAACTTTGTGCTGACTGCTGACTTTAGACGAACTGAAACGGTCTGGCTGGCTCACCCTCTTTTTGTTTCTGCAATGCACAAGATCTGTAACCAAATCCCGTGTAATTTGAGTGTTTTCTGTTCCAATTTCGGTTGGTTTTCTCACGCAGCTCCATTTGACAAACTAATGCCTTCTTAATGAAAAACAGGCTGTCAAGTCTGCTCGAGAAAAAAAAAACTGAAAATTTGGTGTTGACTGCTGACTGATGCTGGTGGCTTGCTCACCCTCTTTTGCTTCAGTTGGTTTTTCCGTGCAATCAAACTTTGACATGTGTTCAAGTCCCCTAGAACGCAAATGTGGATGATGTAAGGATTTCAGTCGGTGAAACATAATTTGACTAGAAATTTGAAAAGGCAACCAAAGAAACGGAGAGAGTTTCAGGCGAATTAGGTCTTTCTTTTACAACATTTTATCTTTCACTCGTGTGATGGCACCTGGCAAATCAAACAGATCAATCACTGGGCCAAAGTGCAGCATTGTTAAGTGCTCTATAAAAAGTAATTTACCCACATATAAAAGCACGCACACAGTCATATGCAGCATCACAGCCAACAAGGCCACCCCAAAACAGAGAATAAATCTGAACTCCATGGTTGCAAGTACACAACAATAGTCTAAAGATTGTTTTGCAAACATAACAATTTTGTTCTCCATGTTCTACCATACTGACTTGTTTATTCCAAAAAAAAAAAGAATTTTGCAAATATAAAAGATGAAGTTAGTTCATTGGCACATAAGGATTTGTAAAACTGAAAAAAGATCTAAAAACATGTCGTTGTAAAATCCATTGAATCAGGATTATTGTGACAACTTCTTCATATTGATATACCATTTGAACAGGTGTGATGCCCATTTTTTTTTTAAAAAAACTATGCAATTGAAAACTTATTTTTTTTCTCTCAGGAATTCAGGAGACCTGCACATCTTTTCTATCAAGAGAGAAAATGTTGCCGAAACCTTCATCTAGGATTGAATAACTAAAGTTTCTTTAAAGGTGTAGTTGACTCTCAATTTCTCTTACAGTAGTGAAAATTTGCTAACAAATCAATGTCATATCGAAAGATCTTTAAAACTGAGTTCACTCGTATAACTATTATTATTCTCTCCGTTCTAAAATGTAAGGCATTTTGTTTGTCCTAAGCGGAATTTTTTTCTTCTAAATTTAACCAAGTTCATAAAAAACATATCAACATCTTACAACACTAAATTAGTTGCATTAAATACACCAAATTTAATCAAACTTAAATAAAGGCATGTTTAGATACCATGAGCAAATTTTAGCTTAAATTAGCTCTATTGCATCCAAACAAAGAGGCAAATAGGTGGGTTAATTTTTTAGCCAAGTCTTCAACTACTAGCCAACCATATATAACTATTAGTAACTAGCCATGTGCATCAAACATGCCCTAAATCTAACTTAAGACAAACTTAAAACATCTTGTAATTTTTAACTAATTATTAGCCAAAATTTTATGAAGTTTGATTTTAGTCACAATACGTCTACTAATTTCGAGCGGAGGGATTACTTTACAGACCTTGCAAAAAATTAAAATATGTTTCTTTAGGAGAATTACAGACTAATCCTCCGTAGCCAAAAATTATGGATTAAAAACTCCTCAGATATTGGGCAGGCCCAGAACTGCTGGGCGTCTTGTGCTCCTCTTCCCCAATTCTCTGGGATATTTAACTTTTTACCATGGTTACCAATGGCGACTCCTGGGATAGCATCTTTAGGTTTGGCGCTCCGTTTTTAGCATCGGAGAGAGAAAAACGATATACATTTGACATTTTTGCTCGCGTGGCACGTCAGATCCATTGTCCAGCTCAGATCCGAGTCAGCAGACTGATGTAAAATGACCGCCCTGCCCCTGGCGTCTGTATTACCCCGCGGCCCACTCCACTCTCTCCCATCCGCTCCCCTTTCTCCTTTCTCTGGTCCGCGCGCGACACCAGCCAGCCGCCGCCACCGCGCACAACGCCGCCCCCCACCGCGAGACATGTCCCTATCCCATTATTCCGAGTCATCTGCAAGGGCGAGGAGTCGGGTCCAAGGTGCCCGAGCTTCAGCATCACCTCCGTCTGTGTGGATCCAGGTAGACCTGGAGCACAAGATGGTGAAAGAAGATAAAGAGACTCCAATGCATCAGCCATATCCTGTCCTGGAGCTGATTTAGAGGTGATGAGGAGTTCTGCCACAAAAACTCACATAAGAAACAAAGCAAACCATATAATGTAGCCTAACAACGAACACACTATCAAAAGATTTTTTTTTTTTGAGAGAGGAAAACCTTTGAATCAATAATCTCTTTTAAGCGATTAAGCTCTTCCAGCGCAGCATCCCAGTTTCGATTTAGAATCTCTGATGCCAGCATCCCCCATAAAGCTCTTGCAGTCCTCTCACCGTTTGTGGACAGGACCCGATATTGGTTCAGGTAGGCCACGGCATCTGAGTAGCACCCGCACTCAAACTCAAATTTGGCATTATCATACAAAGCTTCAATCTGATCAGAGCCAATCTGCATTGTGCACAAAACAGTTCCATTAATTAATAATTAATCTGGTAGCAGACTAGCAGTGGCACACATAGCATGCCCAACTTTAACATTTCCACTAACATTTTTTTTTATCTTAAAAATTGGACGAGAGAGCACTGGCATACTCTAAAGTCTAAAGTGGGGATACAGGCACCGGGTTCAAGACCGGATGGTGACGTTAAGGGCCTGTTTGTTTGTCTAAATTTTGGAAGAATCTGGATAGTTTGGAGGAATGCTGGAGGAATTTGTGAGAGAAAAACACTATTCTGGATGAAAAAATAAGCAGATCAAGCCGGGTTTAAGAGCACGCGAACAGCGCCTCTGATCTTTATTATGGCTCCGGCATATTCTAATGCACTTCATGGCTCCTGGAGCATGCGGGCGTTGTACTGCTTGTCGGGCCTGAGCAGCTGCACGAGCTGCGGATCCCGCAGGAACGCGACGAGCGGCGAGGGGGGCTCCTGGAGCGCGACGACCTCGGCGCAGCGCGCGACCATGTCCTCGGGGACCTCGTAGTCATCGGTCCCGTGGTGGAGCGACTTGTGGATGGCCATGGCGTAGTCGACCATGTTGGTCCCGGTGAGGAGGCGGAGCTTGGCGGCCAGGACCTCCTCCTCCGGGTACAGCCCCCGCTCCTGCAGGAACTCCAGCAGCGGAAGCACCAGGTGGCGGTCCCCAAATGGTCTCACGGTGGGGGGCGGCGTCGTCGTGTGCGGCAGCGGCGGCTGGCGGGCGTAGCGGACCAGAAATGAGAAAGGGGAGCGGATGGGAGAGAGTTGAGTGGGCCGCAGGGTAATACAGACGTCAGGAGTAGAGCGGTCATTTTACATCGGCTGCTGACTCGGACAGTGGCCACGTGAAGTGACAAATATGTACTGTTTTTCTCTGTCCGATACTTAAGAACGCCGTAGAGCCAAACCTAAGATGCTGTCTCAGCAGTCGCCACCCCAACTCTCTCGCCGTCGAGGGTTTAAGCCAACTCCCAATCCCCGCTCGCGCCACCGGCGCCGCCCTTCTGACGTCGGCGTCTCCCCCCACGGCAGGCTCAGGGCGCGCTCGGTAAGCCTCATTCCCCTACCGCCAATGTTTCGCCCCGTTCCCGTACCCCTGAGGCCCTGATTTGTTTGATTTCGGCCCTCGTGAATCCTTCTTCATTTCAATCTTGCGATGAGAACATGCTTCTAACTCAGCAAATGCTTCGCCAATCTTGCGCCGTCTCCGATCTAGGAGAGCCAGCGACTCATCTAGTAATCGAACAGGATTTTGTGGCGTTTTGTGTAGACGGATTTATTTTGTAATCTTTTTATTTATTTGTTCTGCGGGTTCTTTGGTCCTCTAACGTGGGGAACTGCTCCGAGCAGGGCACGCCATGGAGCTTGAGGATGCCTTCAGGAAGCGCGCCCGCGCAAGTGGTGTCGTCGATGGAACCTCGGTCGGCGGCCCGGACCGGCTGAGCTCTCTGCCGGACTGCCTCCTCCATACCATCATGTCCTCATTGAAAGCCCGGCAGGTGGTCCAGACAAGCGTTCCGTCCACACGGTGGAGGCACCTCTGGCGCTCGGTGCCGTGCCTCGACATCGACTTTGATGAATTCAGCAACATGGCGCCCGCTTCTGACGTCTTCGATAGCAACGAGAGCGAGGATGATACCTCTGATTCCGACAGTGATAACTGGCACAACCACAAGGACTGGGAGCACTTCACCAAGTATAAGGACTGGGAGGATTTTGAGGATTTTGCTGTGACCCTGATGCGCAGCTGTCACATTGCACAGTTGGATTCATTCTGGCTGCATGTTGTCCAAAGCCGAGCACCGGAGTTTGGCAATAGAGTGGCAGCAGGATGGCTCCGTCGTGCCATGAAATACTGCACCCCGGATCGTGCCAGTTATCAGGGATTGAGCTCCAGTTCCTGGCGACTCAAAAGGCTGCATCTCTGCCATGTACTTGATAATAATTTTCTGAAGCGTGTTAGTTCAGTGTGCTGCTGGAGGATTTGGAGCTGGACGATTGCAGTTGTCAAATTCAGTCAATCACTTCCCACTCACTGAAGACCCTGGTTCTGAAAAAAATGTCGTTGGCGCAATCGTTCTGAGATTATATCGCCCACACTGAAGACTTTGGTTATTGATGTCGGCTCAAATACTGATGCCTGTGTGCTTGTTATCTTGGCCCCTGCTCTTGCATATCTGCATCTGGCTATGCATATTGCCCTCTTTCGTGGTGGTGTTTCATTAAACGTGGTGCCATCCATTGCCAAGGCATTGATTCATCTATGGGGTCACAGACATCGTTCTGTCAGAAGTAAAATTGGTGGCGATCAATTCAAGCTTCTCTGTTGCATATCTAATTCGACAAATTTAGAATTGTCGGGTGTTGGGACAACAGTATGCCTTCACTGTCTCTTGCAATGTTCCATTTTATTCACTCCAATAATGTTACTGTGCTATCTAATCTGATGTACTACAGGTGCTCGGTAAGGAACCCAGATTCCAAGAATTCAAGAACCTGAGGAACTTATTGCTGGACAAAACTGATCTTAGTGATGACTTCAAGACATTGGTGTTCTTTCTTCAGAGTTCTCCTATTCTTGAGAAACTCACTTTGCGTCACTGCGTGGTATACTGTTGTTTGATTTTTAACTTACTTAATGAACATAGTTCATTGTCTTACATCTTTTATGCTGGCCACAGTTCCCAGAATATTCTAACAAAAAGAAGGGAACGCCCATACTCAACAAGACCTCATCTTCTGAGCTCCGTGGACTGGATTTGCTGTGCGAGAACCTCAAGGTTGAAATCATATATGGCTATGGCTATGGACCCCACCTTATCAGGCTTTTGCGGCGTGTTTCAGTGAATCTGTCGAAGAACAACATTAAACTCACCAAAGTTAATTAGTGTTTTTTTTATCCCAGGCCTTCTATGTGGCTTCTCACCTAATGGTTCCTGTGGAATTTATGTGCACATTATAGGCTCCCTTCAGAGGCACTACATCGAAGCCTATACTTTTGACTACTTTCTAAGTGAAGCAGGCCTTTGCTCTATTGACTATATATGCTATTGCCTTTTACTCTTTTTCCTTGCTTAATGATGTGATGGCCTCTGTAAAATATCTGGTGTAAGCCCTATGTACTGTAGTGTCTGCTGTCCACTTACATGGACAAAGCTAGCTTAAGTTGTTACGTATTGGGAAACTGTTTCCTATTATAAAATATCACAATCTTGAAATATGGGTCCGCAAATCACATGTTTTCTTCTGTTTGTTTTTCTTCCTGGGCCTTTGGGGACTTGGCAGAGGTACATACATATGAAAACTATACACCATCTTGAATTCATCATTGTTTTTGCAATCACTTTGCAGTTATCTTGTGTATGGGTCCCCTACATATATGTGCAAAATATCTTGAGCCCCTTTGCTTTGACATACATGTTCTTCTATGTGTCTTCTTACCTTATGTTTCACATGTGGAATTCCTTGCATATTATGGGTTCTCTTCAGATGCACTAGATCACCTTACTTTTGACCAATTTCTAAGTGATGCAGGTCTTTGCTGTATTGACTATATATGCTATTGATTTTGTACTCTTTTTTTCCTTGCTTCTGGTGCTTTTAACACTATGTGTATCTCTGTCTCTTGTCTACTTACAAGTTTGTGTCTGTTTTTTCCTACTAAAACTATTTCCAGTTATAAAGCATCGCAATCTTTAAAAAATGTCACTGGAAACTGCTTGTTTTCTCTTGTTCTTTTCTCCCCGGGGCTCTTTGGGATTGGGCAGCGAGTGCGAGGTAGTACATTCCAAACAAAATTTCCTGTGCAGATATCTCCTGTATGCCCCCCACCAACATGTGTAAGGATAATGTGGCTGATCTAGGGATTTCAGTATGTGAAACAAAATTTGATTAAATTTGAAAAAAAGCAACCAAAGAAACCGGTCGATTAACAACCACGCAGTGCACAAAGCACCGGTGACAATGACGCACCGATAGAGTTTCAAGCGAATCAGGCCTTCTTCTACAACATGTTTTTCACTCGTGTGATGGCATGTGGCAAAGGAAACCGATCAACCACCATATTCTCCTCATCCATTTCATTTTGGGTCAAGAAGGTGGGAAAGCGCCTTTCTATTGTCCCAAAGTGCACCATTATTCAAAAAAGTAATTTACCCACATATAAAAGTCATACACAGTCATATGCCGCATCACACCCAACAAGTCCACCCCAAACAATAGTAGCATAAAGATTATTTTGCAAACATAACAATTTTGTACTCCATGTTGTACCACATTGACTTGCTTATTCATAAAAAAGATTTTTGCAAATATAAAAGATGAAGTGAGTTCATTGGCACATAAGGATTTGCAAAAAGAAAAAGAAAACAAGATCTGAAAGGAAGTTGTTGGAAAATCCATTGAACCAGGATTATTGTGTGGCAGCATTCTCTTCATATTGCTATACAATTTAAACCGATATGATGACCAAAAAATACAAATAAAAATCCTTAGTACTCTTGTAAGCAATCGAAGGTGAAACCTAACATTTCTTTTTCTCAAATTCTTAGGAGACCTGCACATCTTTTATATATCAAGAAAGAAAATGTTATTTGAAGAAACCTCGTCAGTTTTCAATAGGTGTATTTCTGGATTTAATATAAAAAAGTGTCTATAAAGGTGTACTTGACCCTCAATTTGTATTACAGTAGTGAAAAATTGCTAAAAAAATCAATGTCATATCAAAAGACCTTTAAAAGACTAAATTTGTTCATATACTACCTCCATTTGAAGTTATAAGACGTTTTTCCTTTTCTGGAGATATATTGCTTCTACTGTGATATAGTATATATCTAAGTATATAGCAAAAATTATGTATCTAGAAAAACTAAAACATCTTATAATTTGGAATGGATGGAATAACTTTCATTTTCCTCATGAACGACATTTTGTTTATCATAAATTGCAGAATCATCTAAGTTTAACCAACTTTATACAAAATATATAGCAACAGCTTAACACGCTAAATAAAGTTATTTAGTTGCATTAAATAAACCCAATTTAATCAAACTTAAACAAGTCTAACTTAGGACAAATCTAAAACACCATACGTTTTTTAATCGAAGAATTTTATACTTTGCATGCATATAATTTTAACTAATTACTAGATATGTGCCCGTGCGTTGCACGGTGGCCTCGAATTTTGTCCACATCTACGCGAAGGATTTGTTCATTTTGCGAAAGCAATAAAAAAAACTATTAAACGATTTTGCATTGGAAACCTAAACTATTTTCAAATGCATTTACGCCTTTTCATCGTATTCAAAATAATTCACACATATGCCAATTCTTTTGTTGCAGATCTAGTATGACCCTGACATCGAGCCTCTTTCGTTCAGGACGCGCGGATTTTATATTTCAAACTTTGAAGTTGCAATTTTCAAGCTTTTCAAACTGACTTTGAAGCAGTGTCTATAGGTTATACATGCTCTTAGACTTTTCATGATTTATATTCCACGCTGAAAGCATCTAGGCCCCTAATTGGGTTTCGATGATTAATGACAACATGAGATTACTATGACTAACGTTTGTTTTGCAGAGGCAATTTAAGTTAGGTCATGGTAATTGCAATCGATTGGGCAATCATGGTGGTCATGCTCCTGACGATGGAAATCGTTTGGGTTTTCAAAGGATGGACGACAAGGTTAAGGACGGACTAATTCTAAGTGTTGTTTGGCGTCGGAGAGACACTTAGAGTAGTTTAGGACTTTGCTTTTCCTTTGACCATACTATTAAGGGGGGTATGGACTAGTAGCTTGACCTAGGTGAGTCTAGTGGGTTAGGTGTGGTGCATACTTGTCAAATCTAGCACTAGGTAGCTCAGAAATAGCCCTAAGATCAATTGGAGCAAACTTCATTCACATAGGATTTCGAGTTGGAAGTAAATGAAGGGTCAAATATTGACCGGACGCTGGTCTGGTTGTGATCGGACGCTTGAGGGTGAGTCCGGTCAGTTCTTTTGACCAACCGTAGTCGTCTAGTACTGACCGGACGTTGGGTGCCTGTGTCCGGTCAACTCCAGAGAGGTTCCAGAGAGGGAATTTCCTGATCGGACGCGTCCGGTCAGTGCTGACCGGACGCTGGTCAGGATCTGGTAACTGGCCGGATGCTGAACAGCGAAGTGACCGGACTCTAGGATCCAGCGTCTGGTCAATATCAGTAAGGTTCCAGAGAGCGTTTTTCATGACCGGACGCATCCGGTCAGAACTTAACGGTTGTTTCTGAGACAGTGGCGGGGATAACTGACCGGAGCGTCCGGTCACCCTAATCGGAGTGTCTGGTCACCCCGTAGAGTGCTGACTCAGCCTCCCAACGGTTGGTTTTGAATGAAGGGGTATAAATACTCACTCTATTCGTCCATGGGAGGTCTCTTTCCCATTTGTTCAGCTGAGAAACACCTTGAGAGTGCCAAGGAGAGCAAGAGACTAGTGAGGTGATTGAGATTTGAGAATCCAAGATTAAGGTCCTCATTAGTGAAAGGAGAGTAGCAAGTGTGCATCCACCCTTTTCATTAGGCTTGTCATGGTCAAGTGAGAGTTCTTGCTTGTTACTCTTAGTGATCGCCATCTCCTAGACGGCTCGGTGGTGATTGAGAATTTGGTGATCATCCGGCGAGCTTATGGATGACCCAACTCAAGTTGTGAGCGGTTGTGGGCGATTCACCGCGATGGAGTGTCGAAGAATCAGCTCATAGAGAGCACTTGATCCTTGCGTAGATGCTCCAACGAGGACTAGTGGGGAGTGACGACTCTCCGATACCTCAGCAAAACATCGCCGTATTCCTTTCCCTCTCTTTACTTTGAGCATTTACTTTTGAGCAATTCATTTCAAGTCTTTACATTCCTAGAATTGCCATGCTAGAGTAGGATTGGAACTTAGGGTGCAAAACCTTTATGCGGTAGAACAATAGAATCATATTCTAGGCACAAAGGGTGAAGTGGGATAAGTGTATGACTTAATTATTGCAAATAATTTAGAATTAGCCCAATTCGCCCCCCTCCCTCTTGGGCATATTGATCCTTTCAATTGGTATCGGAGCCTCGTGCTCGCTAAATTAGGCTTCACCACCTAGAGAAAGATGTCTCACAGGGATGGACCTCCTCCTATCTTTGAGGGAGATGATTTTCCTTATTGGAAAATCCGCATGGAGGCTTATTTAGAAGTTTTAGATGTTGGAATTCTTAGAGCCGCCTCACAAGGATTTCCAAAACCTAAGGAACCCACAAACCTTCAAGGCGATGAAGTTAATTACGAGAAATGGAATGCAAAGGCTAGAAACACCATCTTTAGAGGCCTTTACAAAGATGTGTTTAACCGTGTGCAGAACCACAAGGACGTCCATGTACTATGGTCGGACATTTGTGCGCTCCATAAGGAAACTAAGAGTGAGCGTGAGGAACGCTATCATCTTGTTATGAAAAAGCTTAATTCATTTAAGATGCTTCCCAAAGAAAGTGCTAATGAGATGTACTCACGTTTGAATGTTCTTGTAGAAGAAGTCAATGGGCTTGGACTCACACAAATACAACCATCCGATGTTGTAAGAAAGATCTTGAGTGTCCTCCCCATTGACAAATATGGGCATATTATGACCGTGCTTCATCAAGGTGATATTTCCACCGCTACACCAACTCAAATATTGGGAAAGATCAATGCACATGAGATGTATATGCACATCACACCACAAGATGGCTCTTCTTCCACCAAGAAGAAAGACTTGGCTTTCAAGGCTAGCCAAGAGAAGGGCAAAGCAAGAGTTGATCATGAGAGCTCAAGTGATGATGAAATTGATGATGCAAGTCTTGCTCTCATGGTTAGAAAGACCACCAAGATGCTTAAGAAGCTCAAC